GTTTGACTCATTCATTCCTTCACTCAACTACTCATTCATTGACTCATTCATTGATTGACTCATTCATTACTTCACTCAACTACTCATTCATTGGTTCATTAATTGATTGACTCATTCGCTCCTTCAATCAATTGCTCATTCATTGACTCATTCATTCATTGACTCATTCATTCCTTCACTCAACTACTTATTCATTGGCTCATTCATTGTTTGACTCATTCATTCCTTCACTCAACTACGCATTCATTGGCTCATTCAGTAATTGACTCATTCATTCCTTCACTCAACTACTCATTCATTGGTTCATTCATTGTTTGACTCATTCATTCCTTCACTCAACTACTCATTCATTGGTTCATTCATTGATTGACTCATTCATTCCTTCACTCAACTACTCATTCATTGGTTCATTCGCTGTTTGACTCATTCATTCCTTCACTCAACTACTCAGTCATTGGCTCATTCATTGATTGACTCATTCATTTCTTCACTCAATTACTCATTCATTGGTTCATTCATTGATTGACTCATTCATTCACTCAACTACTCATTCATTGGTTCATTCATTGATTGACTCATTCATTCCTTCACTCAACTACTCATTCATTGGTTCATTGTTGATGATGTTGTTGTTGATGTTGTTGTTGATGTTGTTGTTGATGTTGTTGATGATGTTGTTGATGTTGTTGATGTTGATGTTGTTGATGATGTTGTTGATGATGTTGTTGTTGATGTTGTTGTTGATGTTGTTGTTGATGTTTTTGTTGATGTTGTTGATGTTGTTGATGTTGATGTTGTTGATGTTGTTGATGTAGATGTTGATGTTGTTGTTGTAGATGTTGTTGTTGTTGTTGTACATGTTGATGATGTTGTTATTGATGTAGATGTTGATGTTGTTGATGTTGTTGTTGTTGATGTTGTTGATGTAGATGTTGATGTTGTTGTTGATGTTGTTATTGATGTAGATGTTGTTGTTGTTGATGATGTTGATGTAGATGTTGATGTTGTTGATGTTGTTATTGATGTTGTTGTTGATGTTGTTATTGATGTTGTTGTTGATGTTGTTATTGATGTTGTTATTGATGTAGATGTTGATGTTGTTGATGTAGATGTTGATGATGTTGTTGTAGATGTTGTTGTTGTTGATGATGTTGATGTTGATGTTGTTGTTGATGTTGTTGTTGTTATTATTGATGTAGATGTTGTTGTTGTAGATGATGTTGTTGATGTTGTAGATGTTGTTGATGTTGTTGTAGATGTTGTTGATGTTGTTATTGTTGTCATTGATGTTGTTGTTGTTGTTGATGATGTTGATGATGTTGTTGATGATGTTGTTATTGATGTAGATGTTGATGTTGTTGATGATGTTGTTGTTGTTGATGTTGATGTTGTTGATGTTGTTGATGTTGATGTTGTTGATGTTGTTGATGTTGTTGATGTTGATGTTGTTGTTGTTGTAGATGTTGTTGTTGTTGTTGTAGATGTTGATGTTGTTGATGATGTTGTTGTTGATGATGATGTTGTTGTTGTTATTGATGTAGATGTTGATGTTGTTGATGATGTTGTTGTTGTTGTTGTAGATGTTGTTGATGTTGTTGATGTTGTTATTGATGTAGATGTTGATGTTGTTGATGATGTTGTTGTTGATGATGATGTTGTTGTTATTGATGTAGATGTTGATGTTGTTGTTGATGTTGTTGTTGATGATGTTGTTGTTGATGTTGTTGTAGATGTTGTTGTTGATGTTGTTGATGTTGTTATTGATGTAGATGTTGATGTTGTTGATGTTGTTATTGATGTAGATGTTGATGTTGTTGATGATGTTGTTGTTGATGATGATGTTGTTGTTGTTGTTGTAGATGTTGTTGTTGATGTTGTTGATGTTGTTGTTGATGTTGTTGATGTTGTTGTTGATGTTGTTGTTGATGTTGTTGATGTTGTTGTTGATGTTGTTGATGTTGTTGATGTTGTTGTTGATGTTGTTGTTGTAGATGTTGTTGTTGATGTTGTTGATGTTGTTGTTGTTATTGATGTTGTTGTTGTTGTTGACGTAGATGTTGTTGATGTTGTTGTTGATGTTGTTGTTGTTGATGTTGTTGTAGATGTTGTTGTTGATGTTGTTGATGTTGTTGATGTTGATGTTGTTGTTGTAGATGTTGTTGTTGTTGTTGTAGATGTTGATGTTGTTGTTTATGTTGTTGTTGATGATGTTGTTGTTGATGATGATGTTGTTGTTGTTATTGATGTAGATGTTGATGTTGTTGATGATGTTGTTGTTGTTGTTGTAGATGTTGTTGATGTTGTTGATGTTGTTATTGATGTAGATGTTGATGTTGTTGTTGATGATGTTGTTGTTGATGATGATGTTGTTGTTGTTGTTATTGATGTAGATGTTGATGTTGTTGTTGATGATGTTGTTGTTGATGTTGTTGATGTTGTTGTAGATGTTGTTGTTGATGTTGTTGTTGATGTTGTTGATGTTGTTATTGATGTAGATGTTGATGTTGTTGATGATGTTGTTGTTGATGATGATGTTGTTGTTGTTGTAGATGTTGTTGTTGATGTTGTTGATGTTGTTGTTGATGTTGTTGATGTTGTTGATGTTGTTGTTGTAGATGTTGTTGTTGATGTTGTTGATGTTGTTGTTGATGTTGTTGATGTTGTTGTTATTGATGTTGTTGTTGTTGTTGACGTAGATGTTGTTGATGTTGTTGATGTTGTTGTTGTTGATGTTGTAGATGTTGTTGATGTTGTTGTTGATGTTGTTGTTGTAGATGTTGTTGTTGATGTTGTTGATGTTGTTGTTGATGTTGTTGATGTTGTTGTTGTTGACGTAGATGTTGATGTTGTTGTTGATGTTGTTGATGTTGTTGTTGATGTTGGTGATGTTGTTGATGTTGTTGTTGTTGATGTTGTTGATGTTGTTGTTGTTGATGTTGTTGATGTTGTTGTTGATGTTGTTGATGATGTTGTTGTTGTTGATGTTGTTGATGTTGTTGTTGATGTTGATGTTGTTGTTGATGTTGTTGTTGATGTTGTTGATGTTGTTGATGATGTTGTTGTTGATGTTGTTGTTGTTGATGTTGATGTTGTTGATGTTGATGTTGTTGTTGATGTTGTTGTTGATGTTGTTGTTGTTGATGTTGATGTTGTTGATGTTGTTGTTGATGTTGTTGTTGATGTTGTTGATGTTGTTGTTGATGTTGTTATTGATGTTGTTGTTTATGTTGTTATTGATGATGTTGTTGATGTTGTTATTGTTGTTGTTGATGTAGATGTTGTTGTTGATGTTGTTATTGATGTAGATATTGATGTTGTTGTTGATGTTGTTGTTGTTATTGATGTAGATATAGATGTTGTAGATGTTGTTGTTGATGATGTTGATGTTGTTGTTGTTGATGTTGTTGTTGATGTTGTTGATGTTGTTGTTGATGTTGTTGTTGATGTTGTTGTTGTTGATGTTGTTGTTGATGTTGATGTTGTTGTAGATGTTGTTGTTGATGTTGTTGTTGTTGTTGATGATGTTGTTGATGATGTTGTTGATGTTGTTGATGTTGTTGTTGATGTTGTTGATGATGATGTTGTAGATGTTGATGTTGATGTTGTTGATGATGTTGTTGTTGTTGATGTTGTTGATGTTGTTGTTGATGTTGGTGATGTTGTTGATGTTGTTGTTGTTGATGTTGTTGATGTTGTTGATGTTGTTGTTGTTGTTGATGTTGTTGATGTTGTTGTAGATGTTGTTGTTGATGTTGTTGTTGATGTTGTTGATGTTGTTATTGATGTAGATGTTGATGTTGTTGATGATGTTGTTGTTGATGTTGTTGTTGATGTTGTTGATGTTGTTGTTGATGTTGTTGTTGATGTTGTTGATGTTGTTGTTGATGTTGTTGTTGATGTTGTTGTTGATGTTGTTGTTGATGTTGTTGATGTTGTTGTTGATGATGTTGTTGTTGTTGATGTTGTTGTTGATGTTGTTGTTGTTGTTGACGTAGATGTTGTTGTTGTTGTAGATGTTGTTGTTGTTGATGATGTTGTTGTTGATGATGTTGTTGATGTTGTTGATGTTGTTGATGTTGTTGTTGATGTTGTTGATGTTGTTGATGTTGTTGTTGATGTTGTTGATGTTGTTGTTGATGTTGTTGTTGATGTTGTTGATGTTGTTGTTGATGTTGTTATTGATGTTGTTGTTTATGTTGTTATTGATGATGTTGTTGATGTTGTTATTGTTGTTGTTGATGTAGATGTTGTTGTTGATGTTGTTATTGATGTAGATATTGATGTTGTTGTTGATGTTGTTGTTGTTATTGATGTAGATATAGATGTTGTAGATGTTGTTGTTGATGATGTTGATGTTGTTGTTGTTGATGTTGTTGTTGATGTTGTTGATGTTGTTGTTGATGTTGTTGTTGATGTTGTTGTTGTTGATGTTGTTGTTGATGTTGATGTTGTTGTAGATGTTGTTGTTGATGTTGTTGTTGTTGTTGTTGATGATGTTGTTGATGATGTTGTTGATGTTGTTGATGTTGTTGTTGATGTTGTTGATGATGATGTTGTAGATGTTGATGTTGATGTTGTTGATGATGTTGTTGTTGTTGATGTTGTTGATGTTGTTGTTGATGTTGGTGATGTTGTTGATGTTGTTGTTGTTGATGTTGTTGATGTTGTTGATGTTGTTGTTGTTGTTGATGTTGTTGATGTTGTTGTAGATGTTGTTGTTGATGTTGTTGTTGATGTTGTTGATGTTGTTATTGATGTAGATGTTGATGTTGTTGATGATGTTGTTGTTGATGTTGTTGTTGATGTTGTTGATGTTGTTGTTGATGTTGTTGTTGATGTTGTTGATGTTGTTGTTGATGTTGTTGTTGATGTTGTTGTTGATGTTGTTGTTGATGTTGTTGATGTTGTTGTTGATGATGTTGTTGTTGTTGATGTTGTTGTTGATGTTGTTGTTGTTGTTGACGTAGATGTTGATGTTGTTGTTGTTGACGCTGCTACAGCTGGAGGCCACTCTCGCCCGTGCTCCGGCAAGGACCTCCACTTCTGTCTCAACGGTGGAGCTTGCAGCATCATCACGGGGATTCGAGAACTCTCCTGCCGGTAAAAAACGCTCGCTCACTCACACATCTAGAGAGTTTTATACATGTGTGTGTGTGTAGAGGGACAGCGGAGAGAGAGATAGTACTATAGCGTTTCGTTTAAACCCGCTCGCTCACTCACACGTCTAGAGCGTTTTATACATGTGTGTGTAGAGAGACAGAGAGAGAGAGACAGTACTATAGCATTTCGTTTAAACCAGCTCGCTCACTCGCACGTCTAGAGAGTTTTATACATGTGTGTGTGTAGAGAGACAGCGGAGAGAGATAGTACTATAGCGTTTCGTTTAAACCCGCTCGCTCACTCGCACGTCTAGAGAGTTTTATACATGTGTGTGTGTAGAGAGACAGCGGAGAGAGACAGTGCTATAGCGTTTCGTTTAAACCCGCTCGCTCACTCACACATCTAGAGAGTTTTATACATGTGTGTGTAGAGAGACAGCGGAGAGAGATAGTACTATAGCGTTTCGTTTAAACCCGCTCACTCACTCACTCACACATCTAGAGAGTTTTATACATGTGTGTGTAGAGGGACAGCGGAGAGAGATAGTACTATAGCGTTTCGTTTAAACCCGCTCGCTCACTCACACATCTAGAGAGTTTTATACATGTGTGTGTAGAGACAGAGAGAGATAGTACTATAGCGTTTCGTTTAAACCCGCTCGCTCACTCGCACGTCTAGAGAGTTTTATACATGTGTGTGTGTAGAGAGACAGCGGAGAGATAGTACTATAGCGTTTCGTTTAAACCCGCTCGCTCACTCGCACGTCTAGAGAGTTTTATACATGTGTGTGTAGAGAGACAAAGAGAGAGATAGTACTATAGCGTTTCGTTTAAACCCGCTCGCTCACTCGTACGTCTAGAGAGTTTTATACTTGTGTGTGTAGAGAGACAGAGAGAGAGATAGTACTATAGCGTTTCGTTTAAACCCGCTCGCTCACTCGCACGTCTAGAGAGTTTTATACATGTGTGTGTAGAGAGACAGAGAGAGGGTATTATAGCGTTTCGTTTAAACCCGCTCGCTCACTCACACGTCTAGAGAGTTTTATACATGTGTGTGTGTAGAGAGACAGCGGAGAGAGATAGTACTATAGCGTTTCATTTAAACCCGCTCGCTCACTCGCACGTCTAGAGAGTTTTATACGTGTGTGTGTAGAGAGACAGCGGAGAGAGAGATAGTACTATAGCGTTTCGTTTAAACCCGCTCGCTCACTCGCACGTCTAGAGAGTTTTATACATGTGTGTGTAGAAGACAGAGAGAGAGATAGTACTATAGCGTTTCGTTTAAACCCGCTCGCTCACTCGCACGTCTAGAGAGTTTTATACATGTGTGTGTGTAGAAGACAGAGAGAGAGATAGTACTATAGCGTTTCGTTTAAACCCGCTCGCTCACTCGCACGTCTAGAGAGTTTTATACATGTGTGTGTAGAGAGACAGAGAGAGAGATAGTACTAGAGCGTTTCGTTTAAACCCGCTCGCTCACTCGCACGTCTAGAGAGTTTTATACATGTGTGTGTAGAGAGACAGCGGAGAGAGAGATAGTACTATAGCGTTTCGTTTAAACCAGCTCGCTCACTCGCACGTCTAGAGAGTTTTATACATGTGTGTGTAGAGAGACAAAGAGAGAGAGGGTACTATAGCGTTTCGTTTAAACCAGCTCGCTCACTCGCACGTCTAGAGAGTTTTATACATGTGTGTGTAGAGACAGCGGAGAGAGAGGGTACTATAGCGTTTCGTTTAAACCCGCTCGCTCACTCGCACGTCTAGAGAGTTTTATACATGTGTGTGTGTAGAGACAGCGGAGAGAGAGGGTACTATAGCGTTTCGTTTAAACCCGCTCGCTCACTCGCACGTCTAGAGAGTTTTATACATGTGTGTGTAGAGAGACAGAGGAGAGATAGTACTATCGCGTTTCGTTTAAACCCGCTCACTCACTCGCACGTCTAGAGAGTTTTATACATGTGTGTGTAGAGAGACAGCGGAGAGAGATGGGACTATAGCATTTCATTTAAACCCACTCGCTCACTCGCACGTCTAGAGAGTTTTATACATGTGTGTGTGTAGAGAGACAGAGAGAGAGAGATAGTACTATAGCGTTTCGTTTAAACCCGCTCGCTCACTCGCACGTCTAGAGAGTTTTATACATGTGTGTGTAGAGAGACAGAGAGGGTACTATAGCGTTTCGTTTAAACCCGCTCGCTCACTCGCACGTCTAGAGAGTTTTATACATGTGTATGTAGAGAGACAGAGAGAGAGAGATAGTACTATAGCGTTTCGTTTAAACCCGCTCGCTCACTCGCACGTCTAGAGAGTTTTATACATGTGTGTGTAGAGAGACAAAGAGAGAGATAGTACTATAGCGTTTCGTTTAAACCCGCTCGCTCACTCGCACGTCTAGAGAGTTTTATACATGTGTGTGTAGAGAGACAGCGGAGAGATAGTACTATAGCGTTTCGTTTAAACCCGCTCGCTCACTCACACGTCTAGAGAGTTTTATACATGTGTGTGTAGAGAGACAGAGAGAGATAGTACTATAGCGTTTCGTTTAAACCCGCTCGCTCACTCGCACGTCTAGAGAGTTTTATACATGTGTGTGTGTAGAGAGACAGAGAGAGAGAGATAGTAATATAGCGTTTCGTTTAAACCCGCTCGCTCACTCGCACGTCTAGAGAGTTTTATACATGTGTGTGTGTAGAAGACAGAGAGAGATAGTACTGTAGCGTTTCGTTTAAACCCGCTCGCTCACTCACACGTCTAGAGAGTTTTATACATGTGTGTGTAGAGAGACAGAGAGAGATAGTACTATAGCGTTTCGTTTAAACCCGCTCGCTCACTCGCACGTCTAGAGAGTTTTATACATATGTGTGTGTAGAGAGACAGAGAGAGAGATAGTACTATAGCGTTTCGTTTAAACCCGCTCGCTCACTCGCACATCTAGAGAGTTTTATACGTGTGTGTGTAGAGAGACAAAGAGAGAGAGGGTACTATAGCGTTTCGTTTAAACCCGCTCGCTCACTCGCACGTCTAGAGAGTTTTATACATGTGTGTGTAGAGAGAGAGAGAGAGAGATAGTACTACAGCGTTTCGTTTAAACCCGCTCGCTCACTCGCACGTCTAGAGAGTTTTATACATGTGTGTGTGTAGAGAGACAGCGGAGAGAGATAGTACTATAACCTTTCGTTTAAACCCGCTCGCTCACTCGCACGTCTAGAGAGTTTTATACATGTTTGTGTAGAGAGACAGAGAGAGAGATAGTACTATAGCGTTTCGTTTAAACCCACTCGCTCACTCACATGTCTAGAGAGTTTTATACATGTGTGTGTGTAGAGAGACAGCGGAGAGAGATAGTACTATAGCGTTTCGTTTAAACCCGCTCGCTCACTCGCACGTCTAGAGAGTTTTATACATGTGTGTGTAGAGAGACAGCGGAGAGAGAGGGTACTATAGCGTTTCGTTTAAACCCGCTCGCTCACTCGCACGTCTAGAGAGTTTTATACATGTGTGTGTAGAGAGACGGAGAGAGAGATAGTACTATAGCGTTTCGTTTAAACCCGCTCGCTCACTCGCACGTCTAGAGAGTTTTATACATGTGTGTGTAGAGAGACAGAGAGATAGTACTATAGCGTTTTGTTTAAACCCGCTCGCTCACTCGCACGTCTAGAGAGTGTTATACATGTGTGTGTAGGAGACAAAGAGAGAGAGGGTACTATAGCGTTTCGTTTAAACCCGCTCACTCACTCACTCACACATCTAGAGAGTTTTATACATGTGTGTGTAGAAGACAGAGAGAGAGATAGTACTATAGCGTTTCGTTTAAACCCGCTCGCTCACTCGCACGTCTAGAGAGTTTTATACATGTGTGTGTGTAGAGAGACAGAGGAGAGAGAGGGTACTATAGCGTTTCGTTTAAACCCGCTCGCTCACTCGCACGTCTAGAGAGTTTTATACATGTGTGTGTAGAGAGACAGCGGAGAGATAGTACTATAGCGTTTCGTTTAAACCCGCTCGCTCACTCGCACGTCTAGAGAGTTTTATACATGTGTGTGTGTAGAGAGCCAGAGGAGAGAGAGGGTACTATAACGTTTCGTTTAAACCCGCTCGCTCACTCACACGTCTAGAGAGTTTTATACATGTGTGTGTAGAGAGACAGCGGAGAGAGACAGTGCTATAGCGTTTCGTTTAAACCCGCTCGCTCACTCGCACGTCTAGAGAGTTTTATACGTGTGTGTGTGTAGAGAGACAGAGGAGAGATAGTACTATAGCGTTTCGTTTAAACCCGCTCGCTCACTCGCACGTCTAGAGAGTTTTATACATGTGTGTGTAGAGAGACAGCGGAGAGAGAGATAGTACTATAGCGTTTCGTTTAAACCCGCTCGCTCACTCGCACGTCTAGAGAGTTTTATACATGTGTGTGTAGAGAGACAGCAGAGAGAGATAGTACTATAGCGTTTCGTTTAAACCCGCTCGCTCACTCACATGTCTAGAGAGTTTTATACATGTGTGTGTAGAGAGACAGCGGAGAGAGATAGTACTATAGCGTTTCGTTTAAACCCGCTCGCTCACTCGCACGTCTAGAGAGTTTTATACATGTGTGTGTAGAGAGACAAAGAGAGAGAGGGTGCTATAGCGTTTCATTTAAACCCGCTCGCTCACTCGCACGTCTAGAGAGTTTTATACATGTGTGTGTGTAGGAGACAAAGAGAGAGAGATAGTACTATAGCGTTTCGTTTAAACCCGCTCGCTCACTCGCACGTCTAGAGAGTTTTATACATGTGTGTGTGTAGAGAGACACAGACAGAGAGATAGTACTATAGCGTTTCGTTTAAACCCGCTCGCTCACTCGCACGTCTAGAGAGTTTTATACATGTATGTGTAGAGAGACAGAGAGAGAGATAGTACTATAACGTTTCGTTTAAACCCGCTCGCTCACTCGCACGTCTAGAGAGTTTTATACATGTGTGTGTAGAAGTCAAAGAGATAGAGATAGTACTATAGCGTTTCGTT